TTCGTCTTGGACTTCCGATGGAATGTGCACCGCTCGTGCCAGGCGTACGGTATCTTGTGGCGCCGCCTCTCGCCTGGGCTGAGCATCGCATTTCGTTCCCTGTCATGCGCGGCCGTGGCACCCGACTCCGGGCTCCCAAATTAAACCTTGCGCTCTCAGTGCCTCGCCTAGTCGGATTGCGCAGTCCTCGCGATTCTCATAGACGTCCCCCTATCTGTCTGTGCTGTCTCTAGCAGTGACAGCACTTCTCGAGGCGATATCGTGTAGAATGGAGGTCGGCGATGCTGTTCGCTCATGCGGTCTGTAAGTCTCGGCCTGTGCCGCCCTGTTAAGCGGGAGGTGCGGTGCGCCGGAGTACCCTCTTCCTTGTGCCTTGATACAGTCATCCTTGTATCCCGGCACCCTTCACTCCGCATCTCCGCGCAACATCCATGTCTCGACTTCAGCGACCGCCTCGAGGATTACAACAGCGTGATGAGGTCGAAAGGAACAGGAAAGAAGACAACAAGACGCAATATGTGCGGAAACTATCAGGCGTATGTCGCCCGACCGTTGATTTCCATACGCGACTCATGAGGCGTTGCAGACAACTGTTCATGGGGAGCGGCTGTTCGGGCGATTCACTGCAAAAACTCCCAATGCGCCCGGGGTGTTGGGTGTACTAGACGTTTCCGGTCCACCCCCCTCGATCGTCGCGGAGCACGGATGGACGTCGTCCAATGCTCCTCGTCTACATGCAGGTCACGAGCCTATCGTCTCGCGCACGGAGGCTTCCAATCATCAAGGGTCACGCTCGAACCCTTCTATTGACACTTCCAATCCTCGTCGAAGTCTCAGCGCGGTCCACCGTCCCACCTTACAGCACGGCAGCTTAGCTTGTGCACGTACGCATTCTCAAGGACACCATCCCTATCGCATGGAATCATTGCGCGACCAGTACACCACTCCGGAAGGTCAGTTCATGCTACTAACGCGTAGTTTTGACTTCATAAACATGTTTCCAGGTCCCTTGCCAGAAATGCATATGATGCAATCATCTGCTCTGGATCATCAGTTAACACAACATGCGCCTCATATGCTGCTGTCGACGCGGGAGGACCACCGAGAGGTGCTAACGTACGATCCCTTCTACGGTGCTCGACCCATACCTCTTCCTGCGGCCGAACAGCGACTTCCCAGTATCATCATTGACAATACATCGTTCACGCAGCAGTCTTCGCTGGGGCTTGCGCTAGATTTATTTGGAGGAACCGACTTGCACTCGGCCGTTAATGATCCGCCCTCCGCGGATAGTCATCCCGTCCCGAGGTCAATTGAATCTTCGTGTCAGCGAGGCACAGGTACGCTAGTCATTCCATAGGATTTTCTCTGTGATGCTTACAGCTTGTCTTCCTAGCGCCTTCTAAACACGCCCCAATGGCTCAAATGTATGTACCAGCGATGCCGGCAACTGACCGAGTTCAGCAGGCCTCGTTCCCGACTCAGTCCAACTCCATACGTGCTCCGCTGGCCATCACACCCCTGCTGGCCATCACACCCCTGCTGGCCATCACACCCCTGCTGGCCATCACACCCCTGGACCATGCGCAGATCGTTCGGACTAGCCCGACGCCAGCTCTGATACCATCACTCCCAACCCAGATCTCGATGGACGACAGACAATCGCCAACATGCAACTCACAGTACGACGTCAATCTCGTAGCACTGTCTGGGATCCCCCGTACTTGGGATCTCACTCCTTCAGTGACGCACGACCCTATACTGCGGCCTTCGAACCCCCTTGCAGTGCAGCTCCTCCCGTCTGCGTTGCCTTCGATGAGAGCGATTCTAGGAGACTACAGGAAGACTCGTGTACACGATCTTCTATGGGGCTCTCGCCTTATACCGCTCCCAGAAGTCGAGCGTCTGATGAACGATCATGTCGAAGAAGCCTTACCGCTTACGGGAGAGCTTGCCGCCGTAGTAGAATCTTTTGTCGAACATTTCTAGTAGCATCCGGGTACAAAGAAAGTCAACACATAATGGTTCGCGTTTCACGCTTTTCCTGCCGTCTTGCTTGTCTTAGTGTGTTTAATGTATTATTTTGTTGAAGAAGTCTGTGAAGAAGTGGAGGTGGGTGTGGGTTGTAGCATGGAGTATGTATAGCACTCAACGTAGATTATATACTCTGCAGTATCCTGATCAATATGATTAGGAAAGAGGACACCGGGTGCTTCGAATAGTATATATAATAGAGAAGTCATGCGCAAGCATCGAAGCCGTCAGCCCGAAACTTCGCGGCCACTTGCCTGCTTGTGTAAGGACCGATCTAATCATTGAGTACACGCTCGGAGTATGGACAAGCATACTCCCATGACAATCACAATACGAGCCATTGCTTACAAGTTATGGGTAACATTCAAAGAAAGTTGGAATGTCAACACATAACTAATGAGCAATAGATGAAGTGGTGTTGAAGCAGAAGCGTCAATCGCGTATCGTCAGATGGTCAACCCACGGCCGCTCTGGAATATCAAAGTAGCAGTCCATGTACTTCTAGGCTATAAGGAGACGGCATTGGCAGAGTATAGCATTCAACACAACACTGTGCCATCAAGTTGTCCTAATAAACACAATAGAGCACTCGCCGAAACATTGCACCATTACCCATGTCGAAAAGGGTGGCATGAGCGACATGAACCCGGAGTGTAGCTGGGCTGTGTTGACGGGCCACTGTTCCCTCGGTAGTGAGTATGTCCCTAAGTTATAAAGAAGTTATGGGGTACTGTCGCCGGAATTCTGTTTGTCAAGCATTCGACAGCCCAATTGTTTGACCTTGCGCCACACAAAAAGCCTCGTGTACAGTGTGTGACAAGCGACTCGGAGACGGCGCAGCAGGATGACCACTACCTTATTGTTTCTGACTGTTACCAGTAAAAAGATGTGGCGGGAGACAGTTGCGAGACATCAAGAAAGGCGGCACTATCGGCAGTAATCATCTGATTGGAGGATCGTCCCATACCAGAATATTGTATCGAGATCCATGATCAGCGCTTGTGAAGTCGCGGCTGACCACTTCTACGTAGCTCTGACATCCGAGCTCACTCCATTCACCAAGTGATTGCTGCAACAGACTCCGGTGGTAGGCAATATTTCAAGAACCACAAGAAACGTTTCGTAAATGAACTCGGTGCAGCAAAGCTTGGAAGGCATTGATCGTATCCCTACTTGTAGGTGTGTCGAGTGCATGTTATGTGCACCAGATCGTTCGCCGTCTTCAGCCTATCACATGGTTATATAGGTGCATCTACAATACTTTCGGGATTCGTGAACAACCCGAGCCTTATGGTTCGCCATGTCTCTTCCATGAGTCCAAGGCGAACGACGGCGCCCATCACCTAGCAAGTAGTATGCGACCGTTAGTCTTTACCTCCGGGAAGCTTCTGCCCATGCCAGGTGTATGCCGCTAGAGTGTGCGATCTACCAGAGGTATATTCAAATTTTCGGTCCGATATGGTGTTGGAACTTGAGATTGTGGCGAGCGCATGCCACCGTATTTGGCATTGTTTGTAGTACCTCGCAGACTTTGCGCGAGCCATCCTGTATGTTCCTTACGCGTTTGACAGAGCTCAGACAAACGCGATATGTCTTCGTTGATCGTTCTCGCTTCGGGTCTCGGACGAACTTTAACATATGGATTATAGACAAACGAAATTGACTGACATGGCTCGGGTTGCGCGGGTATAAATCTGGGCGCTATCTGGGTGCCAAAACGCGGCCACGTGACGGTTCGCGACGAACAATCACCTGTGCCTTGGCCTTATGGTTCACCGAAGTCGAGATGGAGACACCAACGATACGCGCTGTATTCGCGGAAAGTCCTATGTCAATCTAACATGTTCTGGAGATGCCCACGCCTATGACAAGGCCTGATCACCTCCTTCCGCATGGCAGGATCCAGCCGTAACGGCGGCTAACCCGACATAGACATCGTTGTTCTTTCCTGTTGTATTTGTCTACAATTGGGAGGTCCGTTGCTGTCGCGAAGCCCAGAGTACGTTTATGTAACTACCTGGGAGAGCGCTGCGGGGAAAGCTGCTTAATCGGCGAATACTTGTCGACTAGTGCTGGGGTATGTCTATTCTACTCCTTTGACTGCGAAGGCTCATTATTCTTCCTTGAACGCATTCTATTGCTAGTAAATTATGCTGTGCACCAATCTGTCTGTTTCTGGAATGGCACATGCCGTGCTTGTTCGCGAATTCTTTACGACAAGGATGTAATCGGATCTGGTGTCGACCTGGACAAATTGCAATCCGGCGCTGTCACAGCATGTCTGTATGAGTGCCTGAACTCAAAGTTCCCTCATATCGGTAGGGTGATGCGGTCCCGGTGTGTTTCTTCCGTCCCCTGTAGATCTCATGTCGATACGATGCCCCGCTGACGGCTGCTCACAGAGCTCCTCACAGACAAGCAACACGGGACACCACTGGCTCAGACCATGACTGTGGTACGGAGATCTCGGCTGTGCCGTATCTTTCCCGAGGACTCTGGCTGTTTGTCTCACTTCATCTGCCTTCTCCCTGGAATCCGCATCGCCTGTGCAAATCTAGGGAAGTATCTGAGACCGCTTGCACGTCATGGCTCTCATGTCATGTCAATCTATCCTGCTCTGCCCGACGCCGGGCTCCCCAAACGAGCCATGCACGCACTGCTTCTCGTGGAGCGCTCATGTGCACAGTGCTCGCCACTGGGCGTCCTAGACGACCCCCTATGTGTCGTCGCTATCGAGCACAGCGAGAGGAATGTACGAAGCAATGGCTGGCAGATAGGAGGTCCTCAGGCCTGATGCGCCTTGCCTATCGTGGGTCGGCGCAGTGGTATATGTAAGTGCTTGCAGCGGGGAGAGTACGCTGTGCTTGTGCTACCTGATCATCCTCCCCAGGTCGCTCTACCATAATTCATCGTCCCCTCTCCTGTCAACGTGATGCCGCAGGACAACCAACAGCCAGACGGACAGGCAGGAAGACCGAAGAAACCGAGCAAGAACGAGTATGTGCGGAAACTACCAGGAGTACGTAACGCTCTTGTACCACTCGTTGATAGGTGGTAATGATGCACTACAGGTGGTACAGTGGGGAGAAAGGACATTTGGGCACCCACCTGATATACGCCATTGGACGCGCGCCTCTGAAGGCGCTCAGTCTCCGGTAGCGACGACGGATTCATACAACCAGCAGTCCTATTCGTTTGTCCAAGAATACCCTCGCCCACATCGACAATATCCTTCCACACCATCACCTGCTGTCGAGCATCAGACGGGACCCTCTGGATATGATCGGCGCACCTTGCGTGATGTGCCCTCAGAGGCCTACACATACCAAGGCGAACCATTACGCGCACGGGAGACAGGTGGGGTCTCTTCAAATGACATATCATGAGGTGTTCATGCTTGCACACAGGCTATGCTGGAGTGCAGAACACTGCCTACCAGCCGTACCCGACATCGGTGGATCGTCGCACTCGCCATGAATATCAACATGGAGACCAACAAAGCATGGGTACGTTTGCCCCAGTTGATGGTCTTCTCAAGTCACTGAACGTTGCTCTCAGCAGGGCCATACTCTCAAGTCCCAATGCAGGCGATGAATGTGCCGAGCACACAGCTCGTCGGTCGGTCTGCTCACATCAGATCGCCGCCATCCCATGGCACGTCTGCGACGACTGGTGTCAGCTCGCGTTCGCATCATTCCTCTTCAGCACGGGCTCAATATGTTTCGCCTTACCCGCCACCATCGGTGCAGTCCTCAGTATCTTCATCTTCAGGCGAGTCGCGACATCTATCCCAACACCCTATGATCTGACATGTCGGCATACAGACCACGGATTTGTGACAGGCAGATCTAGTTCAGCAAACCATTCCGTGTTCTACGCACCGGCGAGCTCTTCCGTGTCCATGGAGGAGCTACAAGCGGCTCAGAACCTATATGACGCAGTAGAGAACGACCATCTCCTTGAGGAGTACTTCTGAAGTCTTCTGCAACATGGTATAGTTTTATGCATCATGTCTCGCCGTATCCTCCGATCATCGCTAGTATTCACTTCTTGTCTACACGTTACCTCCATGTTCTTGAGTCGTGGGCCTGTTGCCATGTCGGACAGAAGGAACAAGGTTCATCTTATAGTACTATAGCTCCTCAGACTTTAATGTGTTCATCGTTGTAATTGTGATGCCAGCCTGCATGCTGCATGCTTGAGCTCCATCAATGTTATAGAACATAGTAATATACACATGCGTCAAAGGACGTCAGCGTGATTGTGACACAAATCACATCGGTTCTCCGCCTGAGATTTCTGGGACCGTCCGAGCATAGCTTTCTGACCTTCCTTGTTTCGTTGCGTAACATCAGGTAAATTTATTTCGTGCCTACTGCATAGTCCGTCTGGTGAACTGAATCTGCCGCTCCAACGTTCAAAGTTACTTGCTGGTAACGAAGAGACGTTGCAGCCCATATTCTTGTGACCCACAAGGCCATGAGCAAGCTACCAGGGCTTACGAACCAGTCAAATGCTGCCATCTCTTTGATATCCGCGGATTACACACAAATCATATCAGGCATGACTGGCTCCCAGAATTAGAGGACATGCGCGCCCCCAAATTGTGCTTCGCCCGTTGTCGTTGGGGGAAATCCTTCATGTAGTCTTACCGATCTCGGGCTGAAAGAGCGACTTCACTTAGCACTATCGTGCTATCTGAAAATGGTTGAGGATGCGTATACACAGTAATCTCATTCGTTCGATGCTAAAACGAGCAGTGCGGCCCTCGGCTATGGCTCGATATTCCGGTTTCTCATGGCGAAACGATATGAAGTCCATCAACAATATTGATTTAGCAGCCAACAATTCAATCGAAGCCCCATACGGTATAGCAGCAAGTCAGATCATGCAATAGCGGCAACCCTTCTGCATCCTGATCATGGAGTATTGAGAAACTGCAGCAACAGCTTGTGTGCGCGTAGTATGTTTGGTGCTGTTTGGCTTTGTGGACGCGTAACACGTGATCGAGTGGAAACGCCGCGGAGATGTCAGTCCGAGTCGGACTTGTGCAACGTTGTCTTCTCATCCCTCCCACGGGCTGCATTGCAACGAGACATCTCACTTTGGTCCTCGAACAAGAATCTTAATTATGTGCTTGGTTTCCGTCGCGGCGCGCGTGAGGCGATCAATGCACCATCAGTCTGACCAAACAGAGTCACTCAGGCTGTTGTTTCTCGCCTGGTTACTGTCGCCTGCCACCAGCAACCGCGTACATCTTTATTGTCTTTGTTTGTGACATGGTCTTTTCCACCGCTACGCCGATGGCGGGAAATGGTGAGCAGTTACCGGGAGGTCAACCCCTCGCTTCTCCCAAATGAGGACGAAATCAAGTGCGTATACGTGCATTCGTCCTGGCTACAGTCCCTGAACTGACATCAATTTCTTTGTATTTATTCAGTGGGATTATTATGTGTAGGCACTGCTGTGACCTGTCTACCGAGCGTGGAGACCTTGTGCTCTGGTGCTGAGAGCCGAGTGTGCCGGCTTCGATCCTTCGCACAGCACATCCGACGGTGCGGCAGTCGGGACGTATAAGCAGACATCGTCGTGACACCCCATTTACAAGGGCCTCTAGTGCGTCCCCCGCCCTTCAGGACGTATATTATAACAGGAATGTGGATTGATGCCCTTGCAGAACAGTTCAGAGGGACGGACGACGTGCACGAGTACACGTCCAGCGGGAATTGTACTTCATATATCGTCAATCGAGCCCTTCATACAGAAGGCGCGGGTTGATCGGCTGTGCTCCATGCATTCTCTGTCCGCCACTATCCTCCGTCCCGGATTCCCGATAGAATGTGCATCGCTCGCATCGGGCGGAGGGTATCTTGTGGAGCGGCCTCTCGTCTGGACTGTGCATCGCATCTCATTCTCTGTCATACACGGCCGTGGCACCCGACGCCGGGCTCCCAAAATGAGTCTTGCGCCCTCAGTGCCTCGCCTAGTCCGATTGCACAGTCCTCGCGATACGCATAGATGTCCCCCTATCTGTCTGTGCTGTCTCTAGCAGTGACAGAACTTCTTGAGGCGATATTGTGTAGAATGGAGGTCAGCGATGCTGTTCGCTCACGCGGTCTGTAAGCCTCGCGCTGCGCCGCCCTGTTAAGCGGGGAGGTGCGGTGTGTCGGAGTACTCTGTTCCCTTTTACCTCTCCGATTCAGTCGCGCTTGTGTCCGGTCACCATCCACTCCGCATCTCCGCACAACATCAATGCCTCGACATCAGCGACCGCCTCGAGGACTACAACAGCGTGATGGGGCCAAAGCGAAGATGAAAGAAGACAACAAGACGCAGTACGTGCGGAAGCTCCCAGGGGTATGTCACACGACCGTTGATTTGCCTGCGCGACTCATGAGGATTGCAGACAATCGTTCATGGAGAAAGGTTGTTCGGACGATTCACTGCAGAAGCCCCGAGCGCGCCTGGGGTGATGGGCGTGTTGGACTTCTCTAATCCCCCATCTTCAATCGCCGCGAAGCATGGACAGACATGGTCCAATGCTTCTAATGTACACCCCGCTGATGAACTTGTCGTCTCGCGCACGGAGGCTTCCAACCATCAGGGGTCACGCTCGAACCCCTCTATGGACACTTCCAGTCCTCGTCGAAGTCTCAGCGCGGTCCACCGTCCTACCTTACAGCACGACAGCTTAGCTGTCACACGTACGCATTCTCAAGGACACCATCCCTATCACATCGCGTCGCCACATGATCAAGACGACGTCTCTGCAGGTCAGTTTGCGTCATTGATGCTTGGTTTCGACCTGCTTAGCATGCTTCTAGGCCCTCTGGCAGAAGCGCAAATGAAACGGTCATCTGCTCTGTATCATCAGTTACCACAACAATCGCCTCAAATGCTGCTATCGAGATGGCAAGACCACCAGGAAGTACTAACGTACGATCCTTTCTACGGCGCTCGACCCATACCTCTTCCTGCGACCGAGCAGCGACTTCCTCGCATAGTCATCGACGATGCATCGCCAGTGGGGCCACCTGGGCCTGGGCCGGGTTCGCCTAGAGGAATGGACTTGCTGACACGAAGACTCAGTCGACGCCGGGACGGGATGACAATCCCAGGAAGGCGAAGCACTGGCGACCGAATGCGAGGCACAGGTACGCTATTCACTCCGTAGGATTTTCTCTGCGATGCTGACGGTGTCTTCCTAGCGCCCACTACGTACGTCCCAATGACTCAATCGTGTGTGCCAGCGATGCCGGCAAACGACCAAATTCAGCAAGCTTCGTTCCCGACTCAGCTCAACCCCATACATGCTCCGATACCCATCTCACCCTCAGACTCTGGGCAGATCGTTTCGATCCACTCGACGTCAGCTCTATTACCATCACTCCCAACCCGGATTTCGATGGACGACAGACGATCTCCAACATACAACTCACAGTACGGCGCCAATCTCGTGGCACTGCCTAGGATCCGGCGTACTTGGGATCTCACTCCTTCTGTGACGCACGATCCTATACCGCGGCCTTCGAACCCCCTTGCAGAACAGCTCCTCCAACCTGCGTTGTCTTTGATTAGAGCGATCCCCGGCGACTATGGGGAGATTCGTGAGCGCGATCATGTATATGGTTCTCGTCCTATACCGCTCCCAGAGGTCGAGCGTCTGATGAACTCTCACGCCGAAGAAGCCTTACCACTTACGGGAGAGTCAACGGCGACGCTACCGAGTCTTACTTGGGGCATTACGTCCATATCTGCCTCCATGCATCCGACATTGCTATCGAACCGGGCCCCGACGGAATCGAGTGCTTCGTATCAGGATACACTAATTGTGCGCGGGGTTCCACAAATCTCTCCCACGGACACCGAATATTTCGATCATATGCAGGACGAGGCTGGGAAATCCCTCGCCGCCGTGATGGAATCTTTTGCGGAATATTCCTGATAGTATATCCATTCAGGACATGCCGACACATAATGCATCGTATTCTACGCTTTTCTTACCATTTTCCTCGCCTCGTTGTTTCTTTTCTTGTCGAACCGGCCTGGGTAGATGTGGAAGTGTGTGTAATGGTTGTAGCATGGGGATGTACGGCGCGAAACGTCAGCTATATGTATATGTACTCTATAGCTGTTCGGGTCAGCATGACCATGGCTTCGTCGTGAGTATATATGACATGGCAGTTATAGCAAGCATTCAAGCTGCAAGCACATAACTGCGCGGACACTTCCGTGCTTGTATATAGATGCATGCTATCGGCCTGACCGATGTGGTGGTATGGCTAGATACCCCACTGCTGGAATCCGCGGCAAGGTGCCGGTCAGGCATGGCCCGCCCAATCGGGCATTTTCCGGCCAGACATGGATATCCGGAGCCGGGGTAGGTTGAAGGGATTGTCTGTCTGCTCTCAGGAGAGTAATTATCTGACATTTTATCCTTTTCCTAGTTCGATCCGTAGGTTGTGAGGTACCCGGATCAGTAAAACCCAACTCGATGCAATCCACGTGCGAATCAAAATCGGCCTGACAGAAAGATGGACAGGCAGGCGCAATCCTCTTCCGAGACGTCCAGAGAGCGAGCGATCGCTGCTCCTGCCCTTGGGGGGAGGGTGGGCAATGCAGACATAATATTAATCTTCACGCTCAAACCAAAGGTACACTGCAGCTTGAATCTCTATATTGGAGACGTGCGGGTACCGAGTTCAAAGAGTAGAAAATCCGGCGCGACCCCCTTTCGCCCTCGTCCTTACGAGAGCGGGCGGGCGTAATGACTATAACGTATGTATCAGTATCTACTAGTTATATTATAGGGTAGTCTTTATTTGATCCGTTAAGTAACGCGCTGCGTTACACATAAACAGAGTCGAGCGCGGTCGACTCTGAGTCAATAACCCACCAGCAGGAAATTATTACTTCTATATAATTGAGAACATGTTCGGTGACAGGAAGAGCATACATTCGTGAAGTTATTCCAATACTAGCCATTGCTGACAAGTTACGCGTAACATTCAAACATAGTTGAAATGCCGACACATAACTAATCAGCGATGGAGAGACTGCTATCGAAGCAGAAGGTCCGATCGCGTGTCGTCAAATTGCATAAATCACGACCGCTCGGGAACGTCAAAGTAGCGGTCGATGTACTTCTCGAGTCTAGGACGACGGTTCTCACGGAGTATAGCATTCTCTGCAAGCGCTATGTTGTCAAGCTGTCCCAATGGATAATACAGAACACTCACCGAGCATTGCTCCATTACTAGTGTCGAAGAGAGCGGTATGAGCGACATGAATCCGGAATGTAGCTAGGTTGTGTTGGCAGGCTACTGATCCTTCGGTAGTGAGTATGTCACTAGGTTATATAGTCGGTGTGGAGGACTGCTGGTTGTCAAGCATCCGATAGGCCAATTGTTCGATCTTGTGCCACACAAAAAGACCCGTGTGCGTGATCACCAACAAGACGACGCAGCAGAATCATTGCCTTCTCTTATTGTTTAAAGGTGTTACCAGTCAGACAGATGCGATTGGGGGTAGTTTCGAGACAATTACGATAGAAACGCTAGGACTTGTTCAAGGCATCGAAGACTAAAGACGTTACCAAGAATCAAAATTGATCGGAGGATCGTCCCATAAGAGATTAGATCGAGCGCTTCCGAAGTAGCGATCCAGGAACCTGCTCTCATTAAACACTTCCAGTCAGCTTTGACATCCGAGCTCACTCGGTCTACCAGGTGATTGCAGCAACAGGAGTAGGCCAAAGTGATTTGTCAAAGTAAAAGGGCTCGGAGTAGCAAAGCTCGACTAACTCTTTCGCCGTCTGACTCGTCTCTAATCCACCAGATAATCCTTGAGGAGCATCTACCATGGTTTCAGTATCCGTGATCAACTCGAGTCTTATCATTCATGTCTTTCTTCCACGAGTGTCTGGTTACAAACGGCCCTGCCAGCACCTAGCAAGCTGCGCAACTGATGAAACCTACCTCCGGCAAGTCGCTGCCCACATTAGAAGTTTTACGCTGCCAGTGCCCGACTGACTTATGGTGTATTTTCCGTCTGCCATGGACCATAGACAAATGATATTGATATGATCAGCTTAGATCGTATAGTCAACTGAGCGCATGAGCCGTCGATGTTGTAGACGTGTGTATTTGGCACAATTTGTGTCTGTGGGCGCCACCTGGGTGCCGAAAACGCGGCCACGTGATAATCCAAGACGAGTTCAACTGCGCCTTGGCCTTATTGTTCATCGAAGTCGACATGGAGACACCAACGATACGAGCTGTAATAACGAACAGTCCTACGTCGCTCGAATATATGCTGGGGATGCTCACGCACCATACGACAAGCCTACTCACCGCCATCCCCATGGCAGGATCCAGCCGTAACGGCGGCTAACCCGACATAGACATCGTTGTTCTTTCCTGTTGTATTTGTCTACAATTGGGAGGTCCGTTGCTGTCGCGAAGCGCCAAGTACGTCTATGTAACTACCCGGGAGAGCACTGTGGGGAAAGCTGCGTAATCGGCGGAAACTTGTCTACTAGTACTGGGGTACGTCTGTTCTGCTCCTTTGACAGCAGAGGCTCATTATTCTTCCTCGAACAAGCTCTGTTGCTAGTAAATCATGCTGTGCACCAATGTGCTTGCTTCTGGAATGGCACATGCTGTGCTTGTTCGCGAATTCTCTATGACAAGGATGTAATCGGATCTGGTGTCGACCTGGACAAATTGCAAGTTGGCGCTGTCACAGCATGTCTGTATGAGTGCCTGAACTCAAACTTCCCTCATATCGGTAGGGTGATGTAGTCCCGGTGTAGTTCTTCCATCCCTGTAGATCTCATGTCGATACGATGCCTCGCTGACGGCTGCTCACAGAATTCCTCACAGACAAGCAACACGGAACACCACTGGCTCAGACCATGCCTGTGGTACGGAAACATCGGCTTTGCCGTATCTTTCCCGAGGACTCTGGCTGTTTGTCTCGCCTCATCTGCCTTCTCCCTGGAATCCGCGTCGCCTGTGCAAATCTAGGGAAGTATCTGAGACCGCTTGTCGTCGTACAGGATTCGTCATACTTCTCATGTCATGTTAATTACTCCTGCTGTCCCCGATGCCGGCCTCCCCAAACGAGCGCATGCATGCACTGCTCCTCGTGGAGCGCTCGTGTGCACACAGCTCGCCACACTGACTGGACGTCCTAGACGTCTCCCTATCTGTCGTCGCTATCGAGCACAGCGAAAAGAATGGTCGAAGCGATGGCTGTTAGAAAGGAGGTTCTCAGGCCTGATGCGCCTTGCCTATCGTGGATCGGCGCAATGGTATATGTAAGTGCTTCCAGCGGGAATGTACAGTACTCTGTGCTTGTGCTGCCTAATAGTCTACCTCAGGCCGCTCTGCAATAGGTCATCATTTCCTTCTCTTTCACCAACATCATGCAGCAGGACCACGAACAGCGAGATGGGCTTATAGGAAGACCGAAGAAACTGAGCAAGAACGAGTATGTGCGGACACTACCAGGAGTACGTGACGCTCTCGTACCGCTCGTTCACAGGTGATAATGAGGCACTACAGATGGTACAGTGGGGAGCGAGGCCATTTGGACCCCTACCTGATAGCCGCCATAGTACGCGCGCCTCCGAAGGAGCCCTCGACTTTCAGACGACGTCGGATTCCTCCACCCAGCATTCCGATGGTACATATCCGTCTAGCCAGGAATACCCCCGGGCACATCGACAATTTTCTTCCACATCACTACCCGCGATAGAGCATCAGATGGGATCCTCTAGATATGATCTGCCCACCTTTCATGATATGCCCTCAGAGGTTTACACGCATGGAAGTGGCTCTGCACTTGGACGAGGGACAGGTGAGACTGTCTTTGCAACAACAAATTTGCGATACTTATTCCCGTATTAGATCATGCTAGAGTGCACCACATTGCCTGTCAGCAGACACTGTTGGACCGTCGCACTAATAATGAATATCAACAGGGAGACCAACAAAGCATTGGTACCATTAGCCCCAGTTGATGGTATTCTCAGTTTACTGAACGTTGCTCTCAGCAGGGTCACACTCTCAAGTTGCAATGCAGACGATGAATGCCCCGAGCGCGCAGCTCGTCGGTCGGTCTGCTCACATCAGATCTCCGCCATCCCGTGGCACGTCCGCGGCGACTAGTGTCAGCTCGCGTGCATCTCATTCTTCTTCAGCACGGGCTCAATATGCTTCGCCTTACCCACCACCATCGGTACAGTTCTCAGCACCGTCATATGCAGGCGAGTCGCGACCTTCGTCCCAAACGCCTATGATCTGACACCTTGACACACAGAACACCGCTTTGCGTCAACACAACTAGGCAGATCTGTATCAACATCGCATTCCGTCTTCCACGCAGCGGCGAGCTCCTCTGGATTCAAGGATGAGCACGAAGCAGCTCATAATCTATCGAAGGCAGCAGAGCACGACGACTTCCTTGAGGAATATTTCTGAGTTCACCTCCTACAAGTTATGTTTCGCCATATTCTCCGGACATCCAGTTTCCGCTCCTCGCCTCCGTGTTTTTGCCATATGTCATGATGGACAGAATGACGGCCATTTGTAATTTAGTGTCTTTGTCGCTGTCATTGTAATGCCGTTAAACGCGCAAGATATCCGATACTATAGACCGAAATAATAATATGGACGCGTCAGAATACGCCCACGTGGTCGCGATGCAATACCGACGGCGGCTCTTTGATTGTTCTGGTACTTCTTGACGACGACTGCCCGTCTTGTTCTCGCTGAAATCATCTGGCGTGTCATAATTGCACCACGGTCTATTGGCGCGTCTTATAGCTGCCCCACACGCAGATCTCAATGATGACGGCCAGGATTGATGAAGTCCAGAGTAGCTCGCTCGACTCAGTGTCCGTTTGTAGGGCACCGGATCCCTTAGACGTTTGAAGTTACTTTTGCTGCTGCGCAGCGAAGTACGCGCAATCTCAATCTCATCTGGTGATGTTGCAGAATAGGACAGACGAAATGCTTTGTTCTGTACGCCTCGTGATGGTACTACGTCCTGCGTCCCGCTGGTACGTCGCCTTGTGTATCATCGTCTGCTTCGTGAGTTGCATCTTGCTCAACCAATCCACTGGTCACTTTGGCGAGCTCCAGTGTGGTGAAACTAGTAGAAACTACTGGCCATGCCTTTCCGAGACGACCGCCCATGGGCGCCCATGGCGCCTGCTTTAGGGAGGTGGGTCACAGCTTCTGAGGACTTGTCAAGTAGGTGTCCCTACTCCTGAATGATAATTTAGGCAACACATCAGCACTCCCGCCACGTATGCCCCCGGCCGCATATATCTGGGTGGAGCCGACGCCTGACATTGTGGTGGTACCAATAGATGAACATGAACATGGCCACCACCACAATATGTGCCGCCGCCGCAGGCATGCGTAATCCTGAGGTGAGCTCCCAATTTCTGCAACTTGCGCAGCAAGCAGAGAGGAGTAGATGGGATAGGCACTACAGGTCCTTGCCACCTCTGCACTGCACAGTGGTGGTATATGAAGGCGAGACCAGAGAGCGGCATGCAGCACGCAACTCTTCACCCTCTACCCCCTCTACATTCTCACAAAACGCACCTCAATCGAATGTCTAGCAGAAATCAACACCAGGACCAGCGTGGAGGAAGATCACGCACGTCACCGGCTCAACCAGGAGTGCGCTCGCTTGTCTCGGCGGCATGGGTGTGGTTGATGTCGTTCTGGTGGCAGATGCAGTCGTGGGGGAGAATTTTCGGCCGTGTTGAAAAAACCATCGCTCCTGTTCCATCTGAGCAGCACACCGACAGTGGATCGCATGGACGGAAGGCGCCGGCATCTGGTCGATCGACGTCGACCGGTTCTCGGTCGACCCCAGCTACGAGATATTCGGCTGGCACACTAAGGGCCGGCAGCACTGCCCCTTACGTGAAGTCGGTCAACGCGCAGTCGCACGCGCCTTCCCCTCCTGCGGCATGGACGCCTCACCCACCAGTTCCCTTCCCTACGCATCGATATACACCACCGGAGACGCGACATGTATTCCCTACTACTCCATCGACACCCACACCATACACACACGATGCGCGTTATGCCCGACCTCTGTCGAGACC